TATGGCAAGACAAATGAGGTTGCAGGGACAAGATGAAGAGAAGATTCCGAAGGCTGCTGTGTGTGTGAAGGGGAGCCTGGTAGCGGGACCGCCCCCCATCCATATGCAGAAAATGACCAATACCAACGATCTGGAGGCATACTTGCACACCTTCGAAAGGGTGGCTGCGGCAGTGGCGTGGCCTAAAGAACAGTGGACACTCATCCTGATCCCGTGCCTTACAGGCATGTTACAGGAGGTGGTGGATACGCTAAGCACCCAGGAGGCCACCCAGTATGAGATTGTCAAAAATGCAATACTTCGTATGCTAAAGCTAACAGAGGAGACGTACCGGAAGAGGTTAAGGGACTTGAAATGGAAACCGGGCTCCCACCCACGCACTGTTGCACAACGAATGAGGGCCAATGCGGTAAGGTGGTTGAAGCCCAGGGAACAGAATGGAGAGCAGATAGTGGATATGGTTGTTTTGGAGCAGCTAGTGCAGACGTTGGGGACAGGTGCGAAAAACTGGATTCAACGTAATAACCCGAAGACGCTGGAGAAGGCTATTTCCCTATTGGAAGATTACAGTAATACAGAGGAAGCAACAAGAGAAGGTACCGCCCTCTGGGCAGAGAAAACCAAACCACACAGTGGAGAGGCTTTGTTTTCAGTTTCCAGTTTTACTGCACGATCGGTTGTGGAGACGAGCGGCACAGTCAAGCCTAAAGGAAAAATGTTCGAGCCATTTGGGTCTAAGCCTGTGAGACCGATAACGGTAGATCACCAGATCTATGCTCCAGGGACGGGATGGCGAGAGGGCAAGGATGGGCGCCCCTACTACAAACCTGAAGTGGGGGTACGAGAAGGCAAAGATGGGCGCCTCATTTGTTTCGGATGTGGGGTCCCCGGACACGTGAGAAAAAATTGCCCCGGGACTGACTGTTCTTGGGTGGGACAGGGGGACAACCCCCACCCACCCAAAGCGGAATCATCGGAACGGTGGGAGGTGGAGGCCTGGGTGAATGGAGAATGCAAGAAGGCGCTGATAGACACTGGATGCGGTTAAAGGTTAGTGTGAGACTTGCCGGGGGAAAAGAAAGATGAGGGGTTAACTGTACGTTGTATTCATGGAGACTTGAAAAAATACCAAACAATATGGGCAAATGTTAAGGTGGGAAAAGAAGAGAGGAGAATGAACATAGGGGTAGTACCTGGACTCTCTTGAGAAATGTTATTGGGTCGGGATTGGGTTGGTGCGCGAGATGTGGAAAAAATCAAGGAAGGGTTGCAGGGTGAAAATACACTCGTTGAAGAACAGTCCGATTTTTTGCAGCGAGCTACGCGGGAGCAGATGAGAGTTATGCAACAAGATGACGCATCTCTACGGGAACCTCTGGTTGCGGCTCAACCGGTGGGAATGATAATTAGGATGGGAATTGGAGTGTGGATTGTTGTATTGGGTGGAGGAGGGAGACAGGAAGCTTGTGGTACCTTTAAAATGACGAAATAGAGTAATGGAATTGGTGCATGATATACCACTGGCGGGGTACTTAGCAGAAGAAAAAATGAAAGCTCGCATTTGTCAGAGGTTTTGGTGGCCCGGAATGGAGAAGGAAATTCGGGATTACTGCGCCACTTGCCCCCAGTGTCAAAAGACACAAAAGAGACCACTCAAGGGGGCGGAGTTGAATTGGTTTGGATATAGTAGGGCCTTTGGTTAAGTCTGCCAGTGGCCATACACACATACTAGTTTTAATAGATTATGCCACCAGATATCCCAAGGCTATACCCCTCAGATCCACAATAGCTAAAGTCATCGTGAGGGAGCTGATGCAGGTCTTTACGCAACTGGGTTTTCCTAAGGAAATCCTAACTGACCAGGGGTCTAACTTCATGAGCCTCACGTTGAAAGAGCTGTGGTGTCTACTAGAGGTCAAGCCCATTCATACAGCCGTCTATCATCCGCAAACTAACGGATTGGTAGAACGCTTTAACAAGACTCTGAAAGGGATGTTACGGAAATTGGTTATGGAAAAACCTAAGAGATGGCATTTATTGGTAGCCCCCCTTGTGTTCGCCATTCGGGAAGTACCACAGGCGTCCATGGGTTTCTCTCCCTTCGAATTAATGTATGGATGGAATCCTAGGGGCATTTTGGATTTGGTGAGGGAGAAATGGGAAGAGGGGCCTGATGAGGCGCAGATAACAGTACAACATGTTATAGAAATGCCCAAGCATCTTAGAACTGTCTTGGGGATTGCTAAACATAATTTACAAAATACTCAAGAAGGGCAAAAGAGGAGGTACGACCAGAAAGTGAAGGTTAGGGAATTTCTACCAGGACAAAAGGTACTATTATTAATGCATTCCGAGCAGGCTAAGTTGTTTGCTACGTGGCAAGGTCCTTATGAAGTAGTGAGGAAAGTGGGACCTGTGGATTATGAAATATTCATGCCCGATAAATCAAAGAAAAGAGGGATTTTTCATGTGAATCTTCTTAAAGAGTGGAAGGAAAGAGAGGCTCTGTGGGGAGAAGTAGAAGAGGAATTTGGTCCGGAGGCGCGCGCATGTTTAAAGGACGACTTACATTTGGACATCGATGAAACCTTAGAGGAGTCTCAACAACGGGACTTGCAAGAATTAGAGATAGAGTTCAGGGATGTATTCTCAAGGAGGCCAGGGGAAACAGGCTTGGTGCAACATGAAATACATACCTCACCAGGACAAGTAGCCAGGATGGGGGACCGAACCTGGCCATATCACTTGAGGGATACTATCAATAATGAGGTCGAGGAAATGATGAGGTTAGGAGTAATTGAACCCTCCCGTAGTCCCTGGCGAAGCTATCCAGTTCTGGTACCTAAGCTGGATGGGCAGATAAGGGTATGCATTGACTTTCGGCGCCTTAACGAAATGTCTAAGTTCGATGCCTACCCTATGCCTAAGGTGGATGATCTATTGGAAAGACTGGGTGGGTCAGTCTATCTGACCTCGTTAAACCTCACTAAGGGGTACTGGCAAATTCCTTTAAGATAGGAGGACAAAGAAAAAACAGCATTTGTCACTCCAAGAGGATTATTCCACTTCAAAAAAATGCCATTCGGTTTATGGCGCGGCCGCGACCTTTCAAAGGTTGATGGACCAGGTATTAGAACCAGTAAAGGAATTTGCAGGGGCATACATAGACGACATCTTGATTTACAGTAAAAACTCGAAAGAACACATGTACCACCTATGAAGAGTCTTGATGGAAATAAGGAAAGCTGGGCTTAAAATTAATCCCTCTAAGTGTAAAGTAGCTCAGAGGGGAGTCAAGTTTTTGGGATTTCAGATAGAGGGGGGAAAAATTCAGCCTGTGACAGATAAAGTTGACAAGGTGGTCTCTTGGGATGTTCCCCGTAACAAAAAGGAAGTGCAGCAGTTTTTAGGGTTGGCAGGCTATTATAGACAGTTGATGCCTCACTTTTCAGAAGTGGCTGCTCCTCTAACCAATTTAACCAAGAAGAGAAAAAGTAACCGTTTAAATTGGGGACATAACGAACAAAAAGCTTTTGATACGTTAAAAGAAATATTAGCAACATTACCGAGTAGATACGCTCCCGATTTTGGTCTCCCTTTTATCCTTCAGACAGACGCTTCTGATAGAGGACTAGGAGCTGTACTCTCACAAAAGAAAGGAGAGCTTGAATACCCCATAATGTATTTGAGTAAAAAAATGAGTGAAAGGGAGAGGAAATACGCCACGATAGAAAAAGAGGCACTAGCTGTGAAATGGGCGATACAAACTCTGCGGTATTATCTGTTAGGAGCTCCCTTTACCCTTGTCACTGATCATGCTCCCCTCCAGTAGTTAAATAGGATGAAGGACACCAATCCCCGTTTGACAAGATGGTATCTAAGTTTACAGCCTTATTCATTTCAGGTGCAATATAAAAAGGGAGCGGCTCATTCTAATGCTGACTATTTCTCTCGACAGGACAGAGAGGAGATCGAGATGGAGGAGAGGACGGCACACTCGGAAGGGGGGGGCGTGTGAAGGAGTTAGAGCTTCCGTGTCTCTTTCCCGCTTTTACCACCAGTGCCCCTCCGGCCTTAGAAGAACCTTATTACACTGGGTCTCATCATCCCACTAGAACCCAGGTTCTTGAAGATTATGGGAGCTGACAAGGGCCTGCTGACCAAAGAAACCTACTCTTTTCATTTTTATATAGCATCCGCCAACAGATCATTTAAAAATGCACCAGTGATCTCTGTTGGGATTGCAAAAGCTGGAGATAGCAGTGGGAACAAAATCAAAGCTAAGCAGAATCTGTCTTATTTGTGAACAAAATGTTGTTGAATTTGCAGAGGTTCACATAGAACAGCTGAGGAAAAAAGAGGAAGAGAATTGGAAAAAAATGTGACTAAAAGATGTTCAATATTAGGCAGCCAAGCCTAACACAGTCAGTTTGCAAGTGATTTGTGAAATATATGGTTAACAAAATCACATCAAAACCAGCTTATGAAGGGCCCATTTTTTTCTGTTACTTAAAAGGCCAAGAAATTAAATGCAATTATCAAGTGCTTTTATGGTGCAGTGGTTAACCTGCAGTACTGCAGTTGAGATTCTGCTCACGACCTGAGTTTAATCCCGATTGGCTCAGATAGCCCGCTCAAGGTTGACTCAGCATTCCATTCTTTCTAGGTAGGTAAACTGAGTTCCCAGCTTACTGATCAGGGGGCAATGTGCAGCCTGAATTATAAAATTGTAAACCTCCAGAGAGTGCTTTAAGCACTGTGGGGTGGAATATAAGCAGCACACTTTGCTGTTATGCTCACTTTTAAGTAATCACATTCTCTGATTAATTTTTTTAGAGCTCAGTACTTGAAAGCAGATTTAACACTTTATTTTAGTAATAGGTAAATTTAAAAAAGCAATCTTAAATATGCTCATGAATCAAGCTAGTACACTGTATCTTTAAAAATAGAATGGTGGGAGGCAAACAGTTAAGTGTGTTTCCATGGTGAGGAAGCTAAAATCACAGAAGAAGAGAGGGAGACAGAAACACATTGACAATGTACTGCTTTACCAGGATTTCAAAGTTCTCAAGCTACACAGGTCAGAAATAACCGCTATGGTAAGATCTGTTCAGCTGTGAAATTTTCTTGATTTTTAATTATTAATTCTATACTGTATTAATAGAACCTAAACGCTATGATACTAAGGTGTAAAATATAAATGGCCTCCCTATAACTGCAAGAATCTGTGTTCAGGGGGGGTTTACCTCTGAGGTGTTCCCCCCTTTGCTGGGGCCACGCACCATTTTTGACTGCAAGCATCCCCTTGATTCTGCACCTGGTGGTAAGTATGCCCTGAGCCTTCTGTGACTCTAAGAAACTGCAGTGTAAGTTACCTATTCTCATTGCTTTTGAGTTTTTTTAAACATGTGTCTGATTTTGGTGCTATTAGCACCACAAAAACCATATACATTTTAAAAACTCAAAACAGTAACTTTGTTTAGAGAACATAATATGCATTTCTGCCATTTAAAAGTGAAACCATACAGAAATCTAAAATACACATTTTTTTTTCATTCTCCCTGGCTTCTTAGACATGGGTAAGTATTTTAAATTCTTTGTGCTTCTGTACCCTACATCTAGCTCTTTTATTATTTAATTTTGATTTAAAAGTGTTACCGT